CGACTCACAAATTAGTGCATATACTTCAGTACGACGAGTTATCAATGAATATTTTGATAAACCAAAGGAAGCCAATATCAAATAAAACAATTGTTCATGTTTACGTGCACTCTATCGAAAAACAGGAATCAAAATGCCTCGCTATTGTGCAACTTTTCAACTATTGTTCAAAGCTATCAAATTTCTTTATGATCATTCATTAAAAAAGACATTAGAATTATTTCATTCAAGTGATGTTGATAAGTTGGCTAAAAAAAGGATTCAGCGTAGAATTTCTTCAAATGACTCATCTTCAATTAGTTCATTCAAAGAAAAATATAGTAATATAAATACAACTTTGTAAGTAACAGTTATTTTTCTTTGCTTCATTCATATCATGTAAATATATCGTATAACATAGCTTTACATTAGTGTAAGCTCTTTTATCCTATCCAAAAGCTTTCAACATCGAAACTTACTGATTTATAGAAACGTTTTCATGAAAAATAGTTGTTATAACTACAGCAACGCTTAACATGTGTATTTGATAGGCAAAATTTTGATCATGTCTCTTACCGAAGAAACTCATACAACAACGAAATAGTCATTAAAATAGTAGCAAAAGTTGTATGCTACATAAACAATGCAGATCTTTTTTGCAAAAAACTCTTCTCAAAGTATTGAAATTTACATATAACAGTGGAACATTAGAAATAAAATAAAACTTTAAAAATTTATATTAAAGCATTAGACAATATATTTTGACAATTGTGTCAAACACTCTTTCATGTTTTAGGAATACTTGGTATGCTGAACAGCAAATTCTGTTGGTCATGTCATCACCATTCATCTCGAAATCATGGTTCACTAATATTATCATCGGCATACCATATTATGGTTTGTTTAAAAACAAATTTGTATGCAGGTTAAGGAATCCATCTATAATCTTGTCAATGCTAAACTGTTAATACCAGGTTATGTTACCCTGAATTACAAGAAAGAAGCATATACAAAAACATCATCCAGTTTAATTAGTTCAAATTCTAATCTTCTTGCAGTGCTTAATTAATTTGGCATTGATATTGATCATTATGAGAGCTTAATGAATGAATTTTCTCTTCCACTTAAAATATTTTTAAATCAAAAAGATATTGATTTTATTTTACGAGATTTTAACCACACACCTTCTTATCATCTATTCATCAATTCATTAGGCTTTAATAAGAAATTAAAACAAAATCTTGATGATGCTTTTAATTCAAGAAGCACACATAGAAAATAACAAACGATACAATTGTTTCGAATATTCCGATGGAACCATCTCAGATGAGTTCATGTAAGTCTTGTTACGAATATAATTTACAAAATCATTACAATTTTACTGTAGACACAAATTCAAGTATTGATCCATTCGAAAAAAATAATAAACTCCCGTCGGATATTAGTGTGGAAGATATTTTATCTTGCTATAATGTATTTCAATTGTTTTAAATTTAGATGTTGATAAAACTACAACTATGAATACTGTTTGTCGAAATGAAAAATATCAAATAGAACGTAATAATGATTTGATTCTAAATCTTTGTTCTTCGTCAATTACTTATAGACATAGCAGTACATCTGCAACCCAAGATAATACTAAGAACTTGGTATGATCAAATAAGAAAATATTTATTAATTAATTTTTTATTACTTGTTTTAAATGATTTATTTCATAATGAAACTATTGTTGAAAATCATCCGACTTCGATCTAAATTTCCAATATCTGAATCAAATGAATCATGATTTTATATAATAGTGACTTCATTAGTCAAGGCTAAAACTAATTATTTTAAGTGTTTATTAGAGTTTTGAGTGGGGATGTGGCTGTTTTCTCTTCAATTACACCCGCACTACCGCTTTTGTTGGACAACTAGTATTTACACAAGTAAAAATTGTGATTCAACTATACCAGTAACTAGTGATGGTACGAAATATGGTTATGTGACTATATGTATTCATTAAGTATTTCTGTTTTTTTCTTCAAGGAATGTCCATTAAATTGTACATCTAGCCATTGTATTTTCTCGTTTTTATTTATGCAAAAATTATCAAATGTAAACTAAAAAAGCTTAACTAATGGACATATATATCAATTATATCTCTTAGTAATAAAATCTATTTAAACTTTATGAAAAAGTAATGTAATATTGACTTGAAAGAAAAATATCTCGTGTATTGTTTCTACTTTGAAATATAGATTTTGATATACAGTATAATTAAAAACTTTGATTTACCATGGTTGTTGACACGAGTAGTGTAGTTATTCTTTTCATTTTCCCTTTCTATCTGATCTCTTAATTCAGAGCACTATCAAGTTTGCAAAAATAGTTTGGTATTGGCTGCATTTATCTATGATTTAAGACCTGCTTTCCAGATTCAACAGTGTCATATGATGTGGATATGAAGAAAAAAAATGATTTATGTTTAATTCTCAGATCACTATTAATCGATTTTAAGGTCACCATTATTCGAACAATAATTTTCTACACATAATTTAAGTGGTAAAATTATTTTATGGTCATTTTGTACGTGCTCCTTGAAAGTTTTTATTGTACATTAAGGTTTTTTAATACTTCTTACTAAGATTTCATCATACTAATACGATGAATAATTCAAAAGATGAGAGTTATCGTTGTTTCTTTTTGACAATTTTTTTAAATATACATTTAAAACAACAATCATTCATAAAATGTTATATATATAACACATAATTGGTTTTGCACGTCCATCAAACTGAAAAAATACATGCATTCCAATAAGTTCAGATATTGCTAATACATTCAATATATTGGAAATAACTACAATCTTAGAAACTCAGCCTTATTAATTCGTTGTTTAGTGACAAGAAAATGCTTTTTTTCTATTGATGACACCTTCTATTACTCTTCAGTATAGCAGTAATTTAATAGAAGAAAAGAATAAGATGGATTACATAAAGAAATTTGAGATCGTTAGAATGCTACTTGAAAACGATACTTACTGATCGAAAATGATTATTTCAAAAGAAAAAAAAGTGCATTACACAGAAAATAGCTTGCTAATCTTTTTTGTGCGTCCTTGAATGATTTCTATAGATAAATAGGTTTGTGTCTATTCAGAAGAATAAAAATAAATTTTTTGAGAATATGCAATACAATATGAACCGATCGTTAGTTCTATTGATAGTAGCAGTGCTACTAACAATGGTCACTAATGCATATGATTCTGTAAAAGAAGAAATCAGGAATACTAGTGAGAGATTTTGCATCGATTTTGTTTCTGATGTATTATTATTTGTTGTTTTTAATTTAAGCACATATATGTGAATTTGGACCCTGTCAACATAATGGCATCTGTGTTCCTTTTAATAATGATTTTCTGTGTCAATGTCCTCCATTTGCGACAGGACGTTATTGTGAACAAACAGTGACGTCAAAGCTATGCGACTCAATGCCCTGTTTAAATGGTGGTACTTGTATTATGAAGAATAATACTTTTGAATGCTTATGTACTTCTCAGTTTACTGGATATCAATGCGAAACAAATCAAGCAACATTAGATCAATGCAGTTTTACCAGCTGTTTCAATAATGGCACGTGCTACACATCTGATAATGCAACTTATTGTTATTGTCCTACTGGAACTACTGGACGTTATTGTGAAGATAGATTACCACTAAATCCATGTGTATCATCGCCTTGCTATTCTGATGGTATCTGTGTTCCAAATAATGGTACTTTTAGATGTTTATGTTCAGCAGATCGAATAGGAGAGTTTTGTGAGAAGTATAGTGTATCCCATCCATGCGCTTCGGGTCCTTGCCTCAATAATGCCCATTGTTTTGGTGTGAATAATAATACTGATTTTTACTGTTATTGTGGATATGACAGAACAGGACGCTTCTGTGAAGAAGAAATAGTATACAATCCATGTGCAAATTCGCCTTGTCTCAATAATGGTAGCTGTGTTACTGTTAATGACACTTTCCGTTGTGTATGTTCTCCAGCAACGACAGGATATTACTGTGAATTAAATCAAACATTCGATTTATGTAGATTTTCGCCCTGTTATCATGGAGGCACCTGCTACACAATCAAACAAGATCATATAGGATGTATTTGTCCTTCTAAAACTACAGGATATTATTGTGAAGAAGTTTTAAGTGAATTTAATCGATGCGAATCGAATCCTTGTTTGAACAGTGGTACTTGCTTACAACATGAGAATTCATATACATGCGTTTGTCCCAGTAATTTTAGTGGTAAAAATTGTGAAACAATCAATCAATCACAAGGTACATTTATTTGTCATGTGTTATTAGTCTCTATCATTGTTGTATTTTAGAATGTACATTGGATTGTAGACCTGGCTATTGTATACTTACCAATGATTTAAAACAACCATATGCGTGCTTCTGTAACGGTACATTTCATCCAAATAACTGTTCTGGTTATTAGAAAGAACTTTTGTCAGCAATGATTGTCGTGCTTTAATATTCTCGATAATAAATTATTTGCTTCTATCATTTTCACAAAAATATATTTCTTCTATATAATAATACATTCTAGTTAGTTATTCAAAGGAATCAATAAATATATAAAAATTCGATTCTATATTATAATTGTTGTTTAACATGCTTGAAATATGCTTTCTTATCATTTGAAGAAACTTATTTGAAAGACAGCAATTGCTTATTTGTCACAAAAGAAAAAAAATAAAGTATGATATTGTAAATTAAATTAAATTTGCTTAGTACTTTCGCGGTTTATTGCAGATATTAACCGTATTTTATTATGTACATTATATTCATTGTATACAATTAAAATAGAAAATGTGTATTGATAATTGTTCTTCTAACACTTGTTCTTCATCAGTATTACGAAATATCTGTCATGATAGTAAGATAACAATCAAGAAAATAGTACATGTACTAGATAGTGAACTTCGTCTTCGTTCAATTATGAATAATGTCATTCATAGCTCATGCATACCTAACACTATGCAAAATAATATTGGTCGATTTGATGAACTAACTAAATTTTTTAATATTACTAATGGTTTATTTCGTCAAACGGCACTTACACTCGGTTTGAGTACATATCATTTAACTTCTCTATTACGTCTACCTGAAATAAGTATTGGTTTTAATATGCATATAGATCAACGAAGTTTAGAAAAAGTTAAAATAGATATATTGAAAAATATAACATTCTATAGTTTAATCGGTGGAAATCAAGCAAGCATAGTACTAAATAATGTTCAACAAGAAAATATACCTATGTGTATTATTAAATTTCATACATCTAATAAAAACTTAATGTTTAGTGTCAATCATTGGTGGACACCATCTCTGACAACAACAATTCGTTTTGAAACAATACCACAACAACGATTTTGGTCATATGTAGAGTATCGACGTCCTAATGAAACATATGAATTGATTGGTGAATATGGAACAGGACATATATCGAGTATTCAATTTAGTTATTTATCATGTCTATGTCAACGAGTTAATTATCAAATCGATGGTGGTATTAATGTTAGAGTAAAGAAAAACAAAACTTGAATAGAATTATAATGAGTCAAATATTCATTGTGTTTTTTTCCATTTAGATAACTTCTCAAGAAAAACTAGCCGATATTGGTCTTCGTCTGAAGCGTTCTTCAGACTCAATTATATTTAAGTGTAACTTATATGATCCATTGGAACACTATTTAATTGGTATTCAACGTTGTATTAATACTAATTTTACCATAGGTTTTCTTGCTGAAAAAAAGAGAAATTATCATGTACAACAACCGATTAAATTTAGTTTGATGTCTCAGTGGCATCTAAATAAAATAGGTTTACGAGTGAACACTTTAGTTAACACTCAACACGAATTAGGTCTTGCTTTAACACATCAAATTCGTTATTTTCCATTTGTTTTACAAACATTCGGTTTATATTCCTGGTCTATGCATAAATTCAAATGGGGTGTTGGATTACAAGTACTTCTTTGAATTGTCATTAATTCACATCGTTGTTACATTAAATAAACACATTTACTTGTTGTTCTTTTCTTCTTGATTGTGCCTTATATTGTATTATTCAGATTTTCACTATTATCAAGTTCAAGAAACAAAAATCAGAATAAAAAGAATTAATATATTATCAATAAAAGAAATAAAAGTCGTTTATTGACTATCGACATTTATATTTATTCAAACCAATAAAATCTTATAAACCAAGTAGGACACTATTTTATTCATCGTCTAGATCAAATAAAAGAACATCTTCGTTTGTCACAAGGTAAACATTCTTTTCTTTCTTACGGACATGAATAATGATTAATCCTCAACAAACGTTTGTTGTCATTCTTGTTAGTATACATTCTGTATTGAAAAATACAATGGTTGTGGTTTCTTTGTTCATCGTTGTGATTGTGACACAAACAATTGTAATCAATAGTCAATTCGGTGGTTTTGGTCAAACTCCATTACAATGTTGGCGTTGTGATTCATTAAAATCTGATCAAGAAAGATTTGCTGAATCACGTAAATTTGCATGTCTTCGTCATTTTGATTTTACTCAACATTCAGCTGAACCATGTGATGGAAAATGTTGGATGTCATACGAAGTTATTGAACCAAAAACAAAAGCTGAACGAGAAAAAGCTATACGAATGGTTGATGAAATACCTGATACAGATCGACGTTGTTTTACAAGTGATGATTTAACAAAAGCTAGTATGATTGGATTAAATGCTGCTAATGGATGTCGTGATGTTAAAATGAGAGAAAAAGTTAAAAAATTTTGTTTTTGTGACACTGATTTTTGTAATGGAACTTTATCAACGAAGAGATTTTCGTTTGTTTTATTAATATTGATACCTTTTCTTGTTTTGTTTTTGTTTTTTCAGAAGTTGACTGATTATTTATGATAATATAAATGACATTCAAATAGAGAAAAAAAATAATTGTTTTATTCGAGACACATAACTAGAGAAAACACTACAGAAGTGAATGAATCCTTTTTTGTAAAAGCTCTTTTGTTTCAAGTGAAAAGAGTAAGACTTCAATCCACATCTATAAAAGTACATAAACGAAGATATCTCTAAAGAAGTTTTTCTCATAAAAATAGTCTTTTACTTGCAAAATTTAAACAGAATCAGATTAAGACGTTTTCATCAAAATTAGTTTCTATCATAATGAATGTTCCGATTTTTTTCGTTCTAGTAAAAAGTAAAGAACAGTGTAAAGAATATTTGATAAATCTTCGTTATACATTTTTAAAATAGAGTATTTTTTATAAGTTATTGAAAAATCAGACACATCATGCTAACTCTTCTGAAAACTCTTATTTTCAAACAAGTTTATTATATAATTTTTTTCTGATCATTACTTATTTATTTCATAAAATGAAAAAATTTCTACAATTGAAAACTAAGATAATCTGGAATGATATTTGCTTTCCAATAATCTTTTATTTCGTTCTTGCAAAAGGCATCAATAAAAGCAAACAAACACATACAGACATATAACATAATTATGACTTAAATAAGGCTCTTGATTGTTAAACACCGGTTATATATATATGTATATATACATAAACACTGGAGAAGACAAATTGAAATAAAATCATTGATATCACTGTTAAACAAGATACAAATATTATATATTGCTTTATATAACCGAAAAGTAACATTTTTTTATAAATTTGTTTTTTTTTCTTGCATTATTTATCATCGTACCGTTCTAGTTTACCTGATGTCGGATTATACCGACCAACAAGATAAAAATCTGTCTCTTGTCGTTTTTTTCCAAAATCAGTTTTCTTCACATAGTCGTCATACGATCCATAAATAGTACCTTTATATCGTATAGTTGCTATCGGATTTTCATCAATATGTGTACTCTCATATAGAGCACCCTTAACATGAAAAAAAAAATAAAACAATTAGATAAGAAATTTGGTATTAATATATATTTGTATACTTACAGGTAAATCATTTTCATGAAGACCTATTGAAGTTTCTTGTGGACTATAATACCATTGTAATCTGACCAAATCTTGTTGAGTTGATTTGTTCCGATAGAATTTAAGCACCTTGCCAATGTATGATAGTGATTGATCAACACCATGAAGTATAATACAATCACCAATACGAAGAACTTGTTTATTGTCATGACGACGTATCGTTGAATTGCGAGTGTTTAATGTCCATTGAGGAACTATTACTGAAGATGAAGAAACAATTTTTTCTTTTTTGACTTTTTTTGCCGAAGAATTTGTATTAATAGATGCAGTTGATAACACACGACGTGAAGTTCGACGACTAGTTGGTAAAGTTGAGGGAATTTGAGAAGAAGAAACACGCCATTCTTCCAAATTAACACCTACAATAAATATGACAATAGCAAAGAGAACTATACATGGATAAAAAAGGAATTTTTTTTTGAATTCAATCATGACGGTCATTAAAGTTTCAGAAACTGATTATAATAAGTTCAAATTATCATCATCATTTGATTTCAAATAAATCGAAAAATATCTTGAATACATCACAAAGTAATTTTACGGTTTCCAAGCCATGTAATATTTTCAGGTCAATTTATTTTGTGCAATTGACTATTTTTAACCTGTTGTATCTTTTAATCAGATAGCTAGTAGAATAAATACTTTGACACGCTTTTTTTCTCTTCATAGAAAGAATGTAGTTTAATATAAAAAAAAATTAGATGATGAAATCCTAGATATTAGATTTATGAATCGGTTTGTAAAGATTGAAAATTATTATTTTGCGAATTGTCACAAAAAATTTGCGGAACACCGTAATGAAGATTTTCTCAATTTTTTTTACAAACACTAATCGTGGTTTTTTTCTACCTTCCGAGTCACTACTTCTAGCACTGAGAAAATAAAAGCACTTTTTATCAACTTTCCAATCAACTCTCTCTCTCTCACCTCTAGAAAATATCAAGAGCCCTGTTGCAAGATAAGATAACTCTACACATCTCTAATAAACACTTGAAATGAATTTTGAATTCCTTTTAAATTCTTTGGCCTTCTTGCATTATCAGAAACTAAAAGAATTCTTTCAACATACCTTTAACATCATAATTATCAGGTAATAAACGTATTTCATCAAGTTTAATTAATCCCGTATCACCATCATCAAATACCAGACCTACCATGGAAGGTTTATCCATCTCTGATGGTATTTTTTTAACAATTGCTGGATGAAGACCACGTAAACTAGTACTCCAATATGCACAAACACGTGAACCTTTTGATAAAATATTAAAATCTTCTGGTATCATTTTTGGACATGCCAAACGACATAAATCATGCATTGGTATTAAATAAGTTTGTCTTTCATGATATAATCGTACAAGTAGTAAATCATCATAATTATCAATTCGTTGTATATTAGCTTCATATATAAGACCATTATTTGGTATAAGTATTTCAAAATTTGATGTAATTTGATCGGATTTTAAATGAAGACAAATAGATTGTTTAATTTGGTTTTTTGTTCTTTTTTTGTCAATTGGATTTTTCTGAATATCTGACGTTAAAATATGACAATCAGAATGATGTGAACCATATAATAAGATATTCTTTTCCATTTGTAAAATATTCAAAATAGATAATGAAAATTGAAGAAATCTATTTTTAAAATTTGCTTTTGGATTAAAATAAAGACGTTTTGGAATTTTTTTATGTTGATATTTTTGATGAATTTGTTTTATTAATAAATGACATTCTTTTAATAATAATTCATAATTTTTTGATGTTAATATTTTTTCATTTAATAGAGATTTTTTATCACGTGTATCGAGTTTACAAGCAATATCAGCTAATTGTTCAAGAGCATCAATAGTAAAAAAGATTTTTCGATTTTTTAACTGATTTCGTTGATTAATTAAATCATTACATAAATCAAATATATAGCGAATAAATATTCCTCGAGGTTGATTAGAATATTTAAATAAATAAGGTTTTTTATCTTGTTTATGTTGTTTTCTAGGAGGAATTATACGATGAAGATAATTATCAGAAAAGTGCTTCATTTTTTTCTTTGTAAATATACTATTAACTTGCTTGTGGGGTAATCTTAACAATTCATATGTTGTTGATCGAAATGAAGGTGATAAAAGATATTCTATGCTAAAATTTGAACATTGTTTTGGTATTTTATAAGATGATTTTGATTTGTCGAAAAAATTCTTATCATGAGTAGAAATAATCATGGTTGAGTCTTGTTTGGAATATGGAGATGTACAATCAGTTAAATCAATTGATTCACTTTTAATATTTGATAATGGTGGTGATGAAAGTGAATATTTACGTGTTGATGAAAGACCAACTGGTTGATATTCAGTTTCAGATAAATCTAAGTCAAAGAAAAAATAAATCAATAAAAAATAATAATCGATAATTCAAATATTTCTAACCAGTACAAATTGATGATGGTGTAATGGAAATCGGCGGTGATAATAGTTTATTTGTTGTTGATAATAATTCTGAAGTACATTGGGTATTCAACCAACTTCCTATGTAAACATATAGAGTTTGTAAAGAACAAGAAAAAGAAAAAAAGCAAAGGCGTATAGCTTATTAACGTTTTTTGTCTTTGGTTTTTTTTTTTTGAAATATCGTACCTGATAAGGATGTTTCAAGCGGCAGTAATTGTTGAAACTGTGGTATCATGATATTGGGTAAAGATGGCGATGAATAAGAAGATGAATTGACGGCTTTCATCTTGTTCTATTCATCCTTTCCTTTTTCTCTTCGATTAATGACGACGCCATTTGAATAAAAGAATTGCTAGCGTAGTAGAGAAAGAGACCAAAAAAAAAGGAAAAAATCTAGCAAATACAGAACGAACAAGACTAAAATGAGTAATATAGACAATAAGAAAAAACTTGCGCAATTCGACAGAAAAAAAAAACAATATTTTACATTATAGCTTCTCGATCAATCTATTTGCTACGAGAAGTTTCTATCGATGTTTTAA